CAAATGCATAAAATTTTTTCAATGTTTTCGAACGCTTATAACTCAATGAAAATGTAATAATTTTTTTTCAGAAAAGACTTACCCTAGTATTTTTGGGTGTGCTCTTTCCGACTCTGGACCGTAATATACTAAAAAATGTCATTTAATATTAGTTTTTTAAGATTTAAATTAAAACATCACAACTATTACATTATTCTTTTCACAATTATCTCAAATTTTTCTTGCAAAACACTGTTTTCTCAAGGTAACAAATATATAAAGTGTGCACTAAGTACTTTTACTTTAAAAATATACCGGTGGTTTTTTTTCAAAATAATCATGGCGGTCTCAAAATGGCAACCCAATACATAGAAATTTTCCTCATTCTTGATTCATTGTTTGTAATTTCGACTAACAAATTTTCTTTCATTGAATCGGGTTTTTTAGGTCACTAATTGTAAATTTGAAGTTGGAATGTTAAAATTCAAAATGGTGAATCGAATATGGCGAACCAAAAATGAAAAAAATTGTTAATTTATATGAAAATCGATATTTAGGGGTTTTTTGGGTCGCCGATTCCAAATTTGAAATCAAATTTTTAAAATTAAAAATGGTTTATCCAATATGAAAATCAAAAAATTAAAAAAATTTCCAATTTGTATCAAAATCGATATTTAGGATTTTTATGCTGCTGCTTTTAAATTTAAATAGATTTTTTGATAAATTTAGTTAGATTTTTATAATTTAAAATAAATGATTTAGTTTTGGCAACATGAAAAAATAAATAATAATAAACTTATGTAAACTGTGCTATTATTGGACTTTATTAGGTAATATTCGTACTTTATGTATTTGTATTTCCCTTTGCTATCGAATTGCTTTCGATGTCGCTCAATTCTCACCGCGAAGAGATAGACAATAATGGAGAATCATATTTTTTGTATTTTTTAAGTTTTTTAATTTTTTGGAGAGATTTTTATGTTTTTAATTTTATATGTATTTTTCTTATTTTCTATTTTATTTTCTTTTAGTTTTTAAAATAAATATATTTTTTAACAATTATTATTAACAAATTAGTAATTTGATTGTAACTTAAAAAATATATCATTATTTGAGCTGTAAGAAAATTATTTTAATTTATTTATTTTTATTTCTCAAGAAAATCAATAAAATTCAGCGAAAATCAATAAAGTAGTTCTTTAGAATTATGTTTTATTGTGAATTTCTTGGAAACATTTATTACTATAAAATAAGTTACAATTTTTGCAGAATTTTTTCGTTCTTACATTATATTTCGCTACAAGTATCAGCAAAATTTATTTGACAAAGTTTGATTTATCAGGCAATCATGAAACAGAGCAAAAAGATTTCCAAAAGTATTGCTCACATCAGAAATATAATGTAAGAACAAAAAAATTCTGCAAAAATTGTAATTTATTTTACTATAATAAATGTTTCCAAGAAATTCACAATAAAACATAATTCTAAAGAACTATTTTATTGATTTTCGCAGAATTTTGTTGATTTTCTTGAGAAATAAAAATAAATAAATTAAAATAATTTTCTTACAGCACAAATAATGATACATTTTTTAAGTTACAATCAAATTACTAATTTGTTAATAATAATTTGTCAAAAAATATATTTATTTAAAAAACTAAAAGTAAATAAAATAGAAAAAAGAAAAATACATAAAAAATTAGAAACATAAAAATCTCTCCAAAAAATTAAAAAACTTAAAAAATACAAAAAACATGATTCTCCATTATTGTCTATCTTTTTGCGGTGAGAATCGGGCGACATCGAAAGCAATTTGATAGCAAAGGGAAATACAAATACATAAAAAACGAATATTGCCTAATAAAGTTAATAATAGCACAATTTATGTAAGTTTATTATTATTTATTTTTCATTCCGCCAAAACTAGATTATTTATTTTAAATTATAAAAATCTAACTAAATTTATTAAAAAATCTATTTAAATTTAAAAGCAGCAGCACAAAAATCCTAAATATCGATTTTGATACAAATTGAAAATTTTTTAATTTTTTGATCCTCATATTGGATAAACCATTTTTAATTTTAAAAATTTAACTTCAAATTTGGAATCAGCGACCCAAAAAACTCCTAAATATTGATTTTTATATAAATTAACAATTTTTTCATTTTTTGGTTCGCCATATTCGATTCACCATTTTGAATTTTAACATTCCAACTTCAAATTTACAATTAGTGACCTAAAAAACCCGATTCAATGAAAGAAAATTTGTTAGTAAAAATTACAAACAATGAATCAAGAATGAGGAAAATTTCTATGTATTGGGTTGCCATTTTGAGACCGCCATGATTATTTTGAAAAAAAACCACCGGTATATTTTTAAAGTAAAAGTACTTAGTGCACACTTTATATATTTGTTACCTTGAGAAAACAGTGTTTTGCAAGAAAAATTTGAGATAATTGTGAAAAGAATAATGTAATAGTTGTGATGTTTTAATTTAAATCTTAAAAAACTAATATTAAATGACATTTTTTAGTATTTTACGGTCCAGAATCGAAAAGAGCACACCCAAAAATACTAGGGTAAGCCTTTTCTGAAAAAAAATTGTTACATTTTCATTGAGTTATAAGCGTTCAAAAACATTGAAAAAATTTTGTACATTTGGGCGTTAATGGGTTAATTAATTTGAAAATATTAACTTATTAACCCCCAAATGTATTAAAATTTTACGTTGATTTGAGCCATTTATTTTACTACGGAAATGAGGTCTGTTGTTTATAAAGAGTACCATGCCTACTAATTTTGATGTCGTTCTATTGAATAGCGTTGAAAAAATAAAAAAAAAAATCGCAATTTAGGCAAAATTTATTTCATTTTTGCAAAATGAAGTAAGAAACACATGTTTTTAGGACTAATTTTTTCTTCTTCCGCTATTTATGCAAAATCGCAATTTATGTAAAATTTATCTTACTTTTGCAAAATGAAATAAAAAACACATGTTTTTAGGACTAATTTTTTCTTCCACTATTTTCTCCATAAAAACGTGTTAGTATTGTTCGGGAAAGTGTCTAAAACGTGTTCCCGACACTAATTTAAAAAAATATGCTATAGGTATTTTTTTTCAACAAACATGGCGGTACCAGAATAGCGGTCGATTTGAAGCATTTAATTCGAATTTTCGTTTATATTTAGTTATCGAAATTATTTTACTATGTAATTACTATGTAAATTACTATGTAATTTTGCAATATTGACCTTAAAACAATTTCGATAACTAAATATAAATAAAAATTCGAATTAAACGCTTCAAATCGACTGCCATTTTGATACCGTCATGTTTGATGAAAAAAATACCCATGTCATATTTTTTAAGTTAATATGTCGGGAACATGTTTTAGATACTTTTCCAATACTAACACGTTTTTATTTAAAAAATAGCGGAAAAAGAATAAAATTAGCCCTAAAAACATGCGTTTTTTATTTTATTTTGCCAAAATGTTGCATAAATTGCGATTTTTTTAACATTTTTTTAACGCTATAGAGTAACATCGAAATTGGTAGGAATGGTACTTTTAATAAACAACAGACTCCACTTCCGTAGTGAAATAAATGGCTTAAATCAACGAAAAATTTCAGCACATTTGGGTGTTAATGAGTTAATCATTAATTAGATAATATTATAATATATTATCGGAAACAACCATTTTCAATAATCTTTTTTAATTAATAATTAAAAATAGTGTATAGATATTAGGAAAATTGTAGAGTTTTTTATTCAGTTTGACCTAATGTACAAACATATGATGACAGACGTTGCCATTTACTATATTTCGCGTAATCATTCACAAATCTTTTTTAATTAATATCTCGATAATTGTTGCAAATATCACAAAACAGTATAGAATTTTTATGTTCATTTCAATCTATACTATATCTCTATGAGAGCTTTGGAAGTTGTTCTGAGATACCTTGTATGGAACTTTAATTCTAAAAACTTACATTAGTTTAAAATAAAACATCAGAAGCATTTATATTATAAAAAAAATTTGAAAACTCGTGTTGCTGGTTCGAAAGTGCATCACTGAATCAGACCCGTCTGACAACACTGATTTTATAGAGAACTTCTTCCTCGCTATATCGCTACGTTAAACAGTTAAACTAAGTTCTACAAGCAAAGCAAGTTCTGCCAGCAAGGCAAGTTCTGCCAGCAAGGCAAGTTCTGCGGCATCAAGCCGCAAGGGCGAGTCATTATAGATTGAGCCAATTTTCGCATGTTTATGAATACTTCAAAAATTATTAGCTGCTATTAAAATTTTGCGTTTTTTCAAATTTTATGCCTTACGCTGGAGCGTATTTACGTGCAGCGGCCCCGTTCTTGTATTGATAATGACAAAGAAAGCATCTCGACTAACATGTCCTGTCTTTTAATTTTAATTTCAGCGATCCAATGAGCGAAGAGAATGCTCAATTTATTTTATTATACATATTTACGTAAACTAATTATACTAAATTTTTTACTCTCATTTTATAATACTTATAAAAAATACAAATTTATTTTATATAAATTTTATAATCTTTTTATGAATATTATTCATATTATAAACAAATTCCATTTAGCTTTTCAAGCTATATTTTTATATAATATAAATATATATAAATATAAATAAATAAATAAACATAAATATCATATATATGTAGCTAATATATGCTATATTAATCGTGTTTAAATTTTATCATAAACAATGTTGTAGAAATTATAAGTAATTTTATTATACCTACATCACTTTTTAATACTTTTATTTCGTATTATTTAAATTTTATTATAAAAGACTTTTGAAAAAAATGGTATCAGCATCAAACGGAATGTTACTATTTGCCTCTGTGAAGACGTGTTAATGTGTTGTTTCAACACAGCTCATTTTACAATGTTCTCCCGAGAAATATAATCCAATTAATGCATCGTTATCTTTCAAGTGAAAAGATGTTTAGGTATTGAATAAAACACTTGACGCTTCGGTCTAGGTGGAAACCGTCGGCGATAAATACATGGCGGTGAGTGGATTGCCGGAACCCTGCCGTTGTCATGCACGATGCATCGCTCGACTAGCATTGGACATGATGGATCTTGCAGCTGACGAAGTGCAGATCGATGGAGAGCCTGTGGTACGTATATAGGAGCTGTCCGTGTTTACTAACTATATTTTGCTACAACGCCACGGGACTTTGGTCCGTGGGGAGTGCCTCGATAAGGTGATAGTGCATAATTACAAACGAGAGAATATAAGACGGTATAAGTCAATGTAAAATTGAACATTGAACATTGCGTCTAGTGAGTCGCATCAGAAAAGTCGCTATAAAAAGGGTTATCGAGCTAACCATCCGTGCAGTTTCATAGAAAATTGTATTGTACTATTTTTGTACATACATCGTAAATAGTCTACATTTTTCCAAGTAACCGATGACATTTCTTTCTCTCTATACCGTTCTTATAATTTTTCATAGAAACTTACACAAATAGTACAAACATTTTATGAATATTCTTATGAAACATGAATGTTCTTAATTGCAATATTTGTGTTGGATATTTTACCCGAAGAAAATACTGCAGTAAAATATTATAGTAAAAATCAAAGTTTTTATAATTTTAAATTACAAAAACTTTAAATTACAAAGGCAGAAATATTAGATATTTGTTTAAAAATCTTGTGTATGTTTGACTTTTTATTACAATATTATTATAATTATTTAAATGTTCTTTATGTCATATATTTGGGAGGTAGATTGTAAAATTTACTATTTCTATAGTAGTTTTTACTACAATTTCAATACAATCCAGTTTTACAAAAAATTGTAAAGAGAAATATAATTTTAACGTTACTTTTATTACAATATTTTCCCCATGTATCAACATACGAATATATATAATATTGTAGGAAGAGCTTCATATATTTATAACAGAAAAGTATGTTCTTAGAACATTTGTAAGGTTTATTTACTGATTGCATTATTTAATGTGCAATGCATTCATATAATTAAGTAGTTTTTAGAATGTTCCAAATAGTAATATGCATTTATTATTGCTTAATAATGAAACGTATCTACGAAAAAAATGAAATATTGGAATTACTTTTTTATGATTGTGAAAGCAAAATCAACAATTAATTTACATTTTCTTTGTGAATAACTTATGCATATTCATAGAACATTTATAGTTGTGTTATTCCAATATATTTTATTTTTATTATAAATATGTAATAATGTTTTTAGTGTATTTATAGAATATACAAATATTTGTAAAGAATACAAGTATTCATACAAGTATTCATACAAGTATTCATATAAGTATTCATAAGAATATTCATAGAATATTTCTGTGTTTTGGGGCTTGTCTTCAGCAAGTTTAATATAATATTATGTAAAAAATATGCGGAGAAAATATTCTAATAAAAATTATAACAAAACTTTTAATCTTGGACTTTAACTGTAATCTTAGATCATATAGAATTATGATATTACCATATATTTGTTTCAAAATATTCTGTACATTTGGCTTTTTAGTACAAAATTATTATAGTACAAACTTATTTCAATGTTTTTACACTATATGTTACATGTACTTACATATTTTACACTATATATATGGGTAGATCATAAATATTTGCTTTTCTATAATAATTTATACTACAATTTTAGTATAGTCTGCTTTACAAAGAATATTTAAAAAAATATATATAGAGTAGAGGCACCAAAAGCGACATACCACTTTGTTTTTAGAAGTTATGTCTTAATGTAAAGCTCAAAATATAAATGTAAATATATATGCATAGAAGTAGTTTGAAGTATCTAACTACTATCAATATCCTCTATCAGATAATATCATATTTGTAATGAAATTGTTTCTAGATTTAACATAAAAAATGTTCTAAAAGAAATAAAAAACTCTTTTTGAGTAATCAATATTGAATGTAAAGGACAATAAGAGTTAAAGTACAGGTCTAATAGTGCTATTAAAACTATTAAAAAAATAGTGATTCAGTTTCATGATGAGAAGAAATTTATTAATCATCAAACGCGTTTCGGTCTAACTTTACAGACCATCTTCAGTGATTACAAATAAAAAACGAATTATATTTAAGTGTCACAAACGCAAGATCGCAATAATCGGTATAACAAAAGTTGTTGTTACAAAAGTTGTCGCTACAAATTTTGCTTACGGGAATCGGAAGCACTAACGCAAATAATAAATGTGAATAATAAATGTAAATAATAAATGTGAAGTTAGAGCGAAACGCGTTTGATGATTAATAAATTTCTTCTCATCGTGAGATTGGGTCACTATTTTTTTAATAGTTTTAATAGCACTATTAGACCTGTGTTTTGAACTCCTATTGTTTTTTACATTCAATATTGATAAAAAATGTTTGTTAAACGCACGAAAATGGAGTTCAAAGAAAATGGGTGTCAAAAGCGACATATCTATTGGAAGTTATATAACATGTTGCATATATAATAATATTTGATAATAAATAGTTCATTAATGCGTTTAATGGTTGAATAATATTCATTTATTCAAAATATAATGTTACAAAAGGGAAATATAATTAAATAAAAATATATCTTTGGCATTTCCACCTTTTTCATTTCTCACATATTTTACATATGTTATATTTTTAAATTAAACAAAATTAAACTTAAAAATAAACAAATGCACGTCACAATGAGAGGTTAGAATCAGGTTATGTTAGTCACAGAGTATCGCACCTATTCGCATACTGTAGATATGTCACTTTAAGACACATTCTCATAAAGTTTTTCAAGTTAAACAGTAAAAAAATAATAAAGATAAAATATTAAAAAAATGTTTGTACAAAAGCCAAATGCATGTAGAAGAATTTAATATTAAACAAAAGAAAATTATCGCTGTTTAACGCTGTCTACGTAATTCATCAATAAAAATCATAGAAATAAAACGAATTTCTGAAACTCCATATTTGCTAATTTAGTATATAAAAGAACAAGAAATATACCAAGTATGAATTTTTTATGACAATTGATAAAACAAATTACCTTTATATTAGTTTCGATGAAATACAACATTTAATATATGAGATATAGAGGTATGTCGCTTTAGGAGGTCTATGTCGCTTTTTTGGCTACTTTCTTCTATATATATATAAATATATATATATATATATATATATATATATATATAAATTTTTTAATATATTAATTTTTTATTACAATATGTTATCCGTGTGTTACAAGTAGCACGTATAAAGACGAATGACACGTAAAGTAATAATATTTTTTCTCTTAGATTTCTGTTTTATATTATACTAATATTGTTTGTCATTTCACAGAAAATCACGATCGGCATACACAGCGGAGAAGTTGTTACCGGTGTAATCGGTCATCGTATGCCCCGCTATTGTTTGTTCGGAAATACAGTGAATCTTACAAGCCGAACGGAAACCACTGGCCAGCCAGGAAAGATCAGTGTTTCAGAAGACGCTTACAGGTACAAATTACTTCACATCTACTCAACCATGGTCGTAAAAACGTGGTTGGCGGAACACGAAACCGCTTTTGCAACTTTTACTACGTCAAATGAAAGAAAGTCGCTAACGGTTTGCAACTTCGATTTCCCGAACATGTACATTTCGTGTCGTCTCACGACACACTTTCCGCTATTCTTATTTACGGTATTCATTGACGTTGCGAGCATCCCTTACAATGCGTTCTTCTAATTTCCAAGATACATCAACTCGGCGTTATAAGACACAATTATAAGACGCTGATCCTTTGAAGACGCCGACTTGACTTTTTTTTCAATCTTAAAATAAAGACATACTTCAATACTACCTCCAGAACGTTTTCGTTCTTCGCTTATATCGACAATTTTGCACAAAGTCTGACACTTTGGAACTCGTGTTTATCGATATTTCAGCGTTTGCTCCGTTTGTCGCTTTGCTCTACTTTTCTTACAAATCTCACAGAACGTTACCGAGCGACTCGAGATCGAGACGACAGCAACTGCGATTCGAAATCACATAGAAACTTTGAAATATTTCGGTACGCATATTTGTAAGATTTTGTATTAAACGAGGGGAGAATGCACTACATATGAGGTGAGTCTCTTAATATTAGATTCTAAAATATCTCTGTTGTTTTTTATATTAGTTGTTTTTTATATTTGTTATATTTGTTTTTTGTATTTAATAATACACATAGAAAAAAATCTCAGTTTGTATAACTAAATAGACCAGATGAAAATTCGGCTACGTGAAATAATAGCTTTGTTCTCACGACTAAAAGTATTCGTCTGAACATTTAACTATATCAAAATTATAATAACGAAGTACATTGGATGAGTAAAGTAAACTTCCTACAGAAACCGTTCTGTTCTTACAACCGAGTTTTTCATTTGGTTTCTATTCTACGCAACGAAAAATCAATTATACGAAAAATCAAATATATTAACGAAATTGTTTTTTCCTGTGTGTAAGAAATAACTTGTGAAACTTGTGTGGTTGAAAGGGGAATAAATATAGAAGTTAGTTAACCTCTCCAACCACACAACTTATTCCTTATACATTTTCTTCTTAATATAAAAAAGCAACAGATATATTTTATAATCTAACGTTAGGTGACTCATCTTGTACACGTAAAAAAAGATTTTAGTTTGGATAACTGAATAGGGACCAGAAAAATTTATTGATGAGAAATAATATCGTCGTTACTGAATGAAAACATTCATCTGAATTTTTCATTTGATCATCAAATAACAGAAAATTCAGTTACACAACGGAATATTTTTTTTGTGTTCATTCTATATTGCAACGAAATTCTAGGACATAACTGCACTTGGACGTGTAATAAAATATTTCTAAGATCCGTGTCGCGGGGCGAAGAGGCTCTATCACGCTCTATCACAGATGAACTTCTCTGTCAGTCAGTCCTGCTGCAGGTCTAGATAATTTCTTAGAGACTCCGGGATTTGCAATCTCTTGATTCCGTGAGGGAGTGCCCAATTGGTGCGGAGAGTTTCCCGGATCTGGCAACGACACAGATGTCTGAGCTCAGCCGGGCAGAATCCGCTACGTTCCGGCGGTATCAAGTTCTGGTTTGTCAAACTGGAATATTGCTCATACAAAGGCACGCTAAAAATGCCGCTGCGATCAGCAATGTGATCAGGAGTACGGACGCATACGGTAGTCACGGTTCGTAGCAGTAGTTTGAGACACGTCACTAGATGTTCGGGATAGATGACTTTCTCCTGGCTTTCGGGCTGTTCCTCGAACTCGCAGAGTTTCGTCAGGATGATTTCTATGGGTGACGGAGCCAGTTCGTCGGATTCGATCGAGGCGCCGTAGCGTAACATGACCAACAGGATATCCGGTGCACCATGCTGTATCGCGACTCTTAGTGGCAAAACCTGTCCGTACGACTCCATTGGCACGTCGATGAAGCGTCTCTTTATCGGCGAGGACTCGCAACGGTACTCGAGTTGGCCGCTAATCGCGTGATCTAAGAAGTACACTAGCGCTCGGATATTTTCCTCGCGATCGTCGAAGTCGCATTTCCAACCGGACAGGAAGTGAGTGACGCGCGTGCCGAAGATCGCGCCGACGAACAGTCGTTCGAAGGTCTTCTCACAGTAGAATATGTCGTTTAACAGTCGGCTGACGATCTCGTTGTTAGTGAGCTCCCAGTCGTAGCAGAGCTTTGCCGCTACATAAAGCACGTTGTGGAACTTGCCGAGGAGGCAGACCGATCCGTTCTCCATCATCGTGATATTGTGATATCGCAGAGCCGAGAGGACGATCCTCTCGCACACGTCCTGTTTGTCGAGGCTCTCCGCTGGAAACATCAATGGCCGTGATTCGTATACACAGAAAGATATTGTTCAACTGCTAAGAAAAGTGGTTATTCAATTTACTTTCCATCTTTGAAGTAATTTCCAACTTCTTTCGAACAAGGAATGTTTTTTTGATAACACTGAACAATGTCAAATTTGTTTTAAGGTCTGATAAGTTATTTCTTGCAGATTTTTTGCTGCTTAACACGGACGCAAAATGTCTTTATTATGTCAGAAATCTGTGGTAAAATATACTAAATTATTTCAATTTTTAAAATTATTTTATATCTGTGTACTGGAAGAAGGGAATGTGCTGGAGATTTTTGTAAATTTTCAAGTTAAAAATTAATGCTAGTACTTTATGTTAGAAAAATAAACATGCAAAAAGAGTATGCAGCTTACATATCTTACACAAGATTGTATTAAAACCAAAAGAATTAACACTCCTTTACTTTTTTATTCATTAAAATGGATTTATTAAGGAACTTTTCATATTTGCGATATATCTTAAAAAATATTTTCAATAGCAAGGGTACTCCAAAAAGCATTCTCAATAGCGAGAGACGAGGGAATTCATTCTAAAAAATAGTGGAAAAGATTGGGAAACATAGAAGAGTAAAGGATACTTAATTCTCCCAGTTAATATAATCTTGTGCAAGATTAAATAACTTGTTTTTACTCATTTTTTTAACATAGAGTACCAGTTTTAACTTTTAATTTAAAATTTTTCTAATCCAAAGATATTAATCATTAGAAAAAGCAAAAAAGTATTTTTAGCACATTTTGCGACAAGTGTGTTTAAATCTTGATGTGATAGAGACATTTTGCACCAAGATGCGTGTGCTAACAATCTACAAAAAATGATTTATCAGATCTTAAAGCAAATAAAACAATTATTTTTTGTTGCTTAGTGTAATAGTTTTAAAATATATTTATTACAAACTTTAGGAACTTATTGCAGTATATTATCATATACTTCAAAGAAGAATTTATTTTCTTTACAAGAATATTATAAAACTTTATTGAAGGAAAAGTCAATTCAATTCTATAGAGTAAGCAAACCGAATTTTTGTTTGAATTTAATATTTTTCATTGAAATGCTATTACAATTTAGAGTGCATTTTGTATAATATTTGTATAAATTTGATGATGAATTTACAATGAATTTAACTTGTTATAGTAAATTTATGATAGATTTGCGCGGACACAAATCTATAAAATACTTTCTACTATTTACTTGAACGCAGTATATATTTTTCAATATATATTTTTAAATACAGTATACCCCCTTCTCCCAAGCATCTCACCCTCGTCGATCGTATCATGCGAGATGCCACAAGGCGTGTATCTCTGTATTGGAACGCGGGCGAGACGGCAGATGCAAATTATACTGGAATTCGTGGCGATGCGTATGGCTTGACGCGGGAATTTTTCACCGTTACTGCAACGGCATTAGCGAAACAACGTAGACAAATAGAAAGCATTAGATACGGTTTAATGTAACGGTAAGATTATAATAGGAGGCGATATCTCTGCCGCTTTCGAAGCGTTTACACCGCGGGAACGGCAATAAGAAATTAACGGATAATCACGTTTTATTAATTATATTACAAGGTCTCGTTTGCGGTCTGTCGTGTGTGTTACGAGCGATTTCAGGAATTCTTCGCGTTAGACACGCGGATGATAAAACAACGCTGTCTTGTTAATGATTATCGATCCCCGACCGGCGACGGCATTTGCCAAACGGCATTTGTCACTCGCGACTCGCGCAAATACGCATAACCTTCGATGTCGACGTCTTATAAATCGTGTTACCTTCTGCACAACTGTTTATCACGTCCGTAAAATAGTTGACTAGCTCACGACGCTTGTACCGTGAGGCTAAGCAACTGCGCTCCATTTCCGAGAATAGTCTGTCGAAATAACAATCTATCAACACCTCCATGATTTTCGACGGGCTTCAACTGTGAGAGACGGTGTGCGTCATGTAATTTCAATGACACATCAAGATCGCGTAACGGCCGTCGCGAACGTTCGTGTTTTAATGATTACCAACGAGGTAAAACAGTCCCACTCACATACGACGAGCTTAATTCGATTAGATGTAAAGTACGTATTTCAAGGGTTTCTTCGACGTACCCCCTCCGAGATACTCTATAACTGTGCAAGAAACGCGTTGGCGTAAACTTCCTATGCTTCTTGTTCTATCAAATTTTTACAGTGAAATCTCACACAAAACGAATAAAAATTTATTCAAAACAATAATGAAGATATTACTACTCCGAATTTTAAGTGTGAATGTTTCACTCAAGCTCAGAGTGGATTCTGACTGCACACTCTGCAAAGTATAACTAGGGTATTCTTCACAAATTCAATACGTATACTCCACACAGAAAAAATATCATTCTACTGCTAATATAAGCAATTAGTTATTTTACATTTCCTCTTTTAAGTAATGATTATCTTTAACAAGGAATATTTTCTTGGCAGTAGTTAAAATATATTCATCATAAATTTCAGAGAAGCGTTTATGTAATATAAAGAAAGATTTATTTCCAATTTATATTTATATATAATATTTCTATTTTCTTTCTAACACATAAATATCTTTGCAATTTTTTGCAGGTATCTCTGTATGCCGGAGAATCAAGATCCGCAGTTTCTTTTGGAATATAGAGGGCCCGTCGTGATGAAGGGGAAATCGGAACCCATGAACGTATGGTTCCTGTCTAGAGAAAGAGAGCTGACATCGTAAAACGTTGTGAATGTGAATGTTATAGCAATAATGCCGTGAATCAGTTGGAAAATTCAAACTCACTACGTTAAGGATCAATAAAACTCGTACAATCATTCGAGAAAATAACTAATAATACGGATAAAATATGAGCAATCAGTGTGTTTCGTGTTAAAACACTTTCACGACTATGTATTATATACGTTTAATTACATGCAGAAAAGTTTATAAAGAGTTTATTGCATTGGGCCATCTGGCTGATGATCGATGATCATTCTTAGGCAAATTGTGAGGTCGAGTGTCGACAGTTGGTCTTCAATCGACAGATTATTTAGTAATTGTGAATGTACAAGGTAATCAAATATAATCGTTATTTATTTGGTGACATCACGTCGGTAAGCGTTTTCTTCCCCGTTTCGCGTGACCCTCGTTGCCCGACAGGTCATCGATAAGCACACCTAGCACAGAGGTTGCAAGCGCGAGATGTCTTGCCCTCAGACGAGAAAAAATCAGACGGCAAGAATAACCAGACGGACCATTCGTGGTATGCACGCGGTTGGGAGGTGTAACGGAACCTGTTCTAGTCCCATTTAAGCTTCTCACGCGTTGCAAGGTCAATATAAAAGATCCTGTATGCATTCCTTCTGATATCTCCCGAGGACGGCAACTTTGTACACAGTTTTGTAAGAAACTTTGTTTTGCGATTTCAATCATTTAATCTAATGGATCGTACTCTCTCTTTCTCTCTCTCTCTCTCTCTCTCTCTCTCTCTCTCTCTCTCTTGTCTTCTGTTTTGCATTCTCGATTATTGAAATTGTAATTAACATTCTAATTTAATAATTATTATAATTAAGAGGATATAGAAATGGATAATGAATTTGTAAAAAATATCGATAATATACAAAGGCAATCGTCATTAATACGATACTATCTTTTTCGTATTTCTTAGACATATTAATCTTATATAAATGTATATTATTGAATCAATGTACATTCTATTCAATGAGTTTATTAAATATAAAAGAGTAACTTTAATGGGATGTGTGTGCATACTTGAAAACTACCATCGAAATATAGATTTTTTTTTCTGCAAAATTTACTCTTATTTACTCGTGTTGGTTGCACAGTGCTTTTACTGAAAGTATATGAAATAATGAATTAGAGTATTGCTGTATTTATTGAAAACAATAAAAAATTTTAAAATTGTTATCTTGAGCTGTTAGTTGTTGTAAATATTTATTTGATACAAAAATTCTTCATTTTTGTACATATTGCACGTGTGTTTGCTCCGCTAACGAAAATTCTAAGGAACATTTTTATATCTTTATAACTAAATATAGAGGCTCAAAAATATATGAAAAGTTTGCAGAAGGATTTTTATATATACGTAGTTATGTTTCCTACTATCATGATACAACAAAATAATATACATTTATATAAGATTAATATGTCTAAGAAATATGAAAAAGATAGTATCGTGTTAATGACGATTGCCTTTGTATATATTATCGATATTTTTTACAAATTCATTATCCATTTCTATATCCTCTTAATTATAATAATTATTAAATTAGAATGTTAATTACAATTTCAATAATCGAGAATGCAAAACAGAAGACAAGAGAGAGAGAGAGAGAGAGAGAGAGAGAGAGAGAGAGAGAGAGAGAAAGAGAGAGTACGATTCATTAGATCATATAATTTAAATCGCAAAACCAACTATCATAATCCATAACAATAATAACAAATCTATAAGATTTCTTATTATTATGAATCTTCTATCAATGTAATGATCAATATGAAATGAATATAATGGATGCTGTATGCATTTTTTCTAAAGTACCAAAATGAAAGCCTTATAGACAATTTTGTAGGAAATTTTATAAAATATTTTATAAAAAACTTGATAAATATATATATATATATATATATATATATATATATATATATATATGAATTGCACTCCACTAGATGAGTTTATTAAATATAAAATAATAAACTTTATCTTTATTTATTTCGCGTTTGAACATTAAATTAAAATAATAATCTAAACTAAATAATAAACTAATAATAACTAGTAATAAACTGTAAAAATTGGGAGTAAAAGAAAGGAAAGAAGAGAAAGGATGGTCCATTAAACTTTCGAAAGTGCTAAATAGTGAAGTCAGCTAAGCCTACTCGATTTCTTATTTGTGAAGTTTCCCATAAATATGCAACAGTCAATATAAATTACAAAGTCAATATGAAGGATTTTGTGTGTATTATTTTTGACATTTCAACGACGGAAGTTTTACAAATAATTTTATAGGAAATTTTGTTACGGAATCGAGTTACATGAGTTCATTAAAGATAAAAGAATATTTTTGAACTAGAATGATTACGTTAAATTAAAGTCATAATTATAACTAGAAAAATGGAGAATGAAAGAGAGGAAAGGAGAGAGAGGACGATCGATTAGATTAAACTTTCGAAAGCGCTAAATCGCGAAGTTAGCTAAATCTACGCGATTTCTTATTTGCGACGTGTCCTATCAGTATGCAACGAGCATCATCTCAACGCATCCTCCAGCTCACATTACCGATCATCGTGGAGAAATGTTCGGTACGTATCATGCGATGTAGCTTGCGAGGTTGCGAGATTGACGCGCTTTCCATTTACACGGCCATTCACGGGATACGGCTGTACGCGAATTATAGCGGACGGCTCGAGATGCCGCCAAAAGAAGCGGAGAGGATGTGCCATGGTACCGCGATGGTGAAATTTCGGCAGGTGCACACCAACGTGGACGAGCACGTATATGCTTGACACGAACACACCTACGTGCGCGCAGGTAGGCAAACAGGCAGGCAGAGAGGCAGGCAGGCAGGCAGGCAAGCAGGCAGGCAAGTAGGCAGGTGGGCAGACCAGCTAGATCGCCATACGGCTACGTGAAAGGCGGTGAACGGTAAAGAGTCAGGCATTTAAATAAGGTACCGGATTGTCGATACCGGGCGGTTCAACAGAGGACGCCACGTTCGCGCTACTCGGCCAGGCAGGTACCTGTCGGACGACTCTATAGCCGGCTCGAAGAAACCCGTTCTCGTCCTTCCCCGAGTCTCGCCTTTCTCCCTCCCTTCCCACTACCTCCGCGTGCTCTTCCCCGTAGACGGGCCGATATTTCCCACTCCCCCTTTCGCCGTGCCCCGGTCCTGCCGGGGCCCGACTCCAGTCCTCACCCGGGCCGTGAAACTGCATGAGTGAGTGTCAGCAGGCACTCAGTACTGTTACTGACGTTCCGTGCTGTGTACGATCACCCGTTGTTGATTATCGTCGTCTTCGTCGTCATCGTCGTCTTCTTCAGCTACAACCGGCTTTGAGTCGTAGACTCGGATTTTACTATGCGCCGCTCTTGATACACATATGCGGTTCGTAAGTGGTGCTTCGCTGTCCCCAACGACGCGTCTCCTCCTCCATCTCATGTTGCTTCCATCTTTCGATGCGTACCAGTCCCGCATATTCCACAAGCCTCTCTCTCTTTTTCTTTCTCTCTCTTTCTCTCTCTCTCTCTCTCTCATTCACGTGTGCGACAGATAATCCACGATCTCGCACGGGCACAGGTGTGCGCAAGGTGTTAACGTTTTCTCGAGCCGCGGGGCCTTACGCTCTCGGCCGATCGACCTGATTCAAACGCCGTCGTAATTCGTCAAGCTTCCCGGTGGACGTCTGCTCGATCGTCCTTGCGTACGGTAAATCTCGAGCGCGATCGGTGAATCACGGTCAGCCAGGATTGGGTTAATTTTGCAGTGTGTTCGGCGTACACGTCTTATAGTACGTTGAGAACGACGGAAAAGTTACGAGTAATTTTAATCGTGAATTTCGGAGTATAAACTTCCGACGTGTTCCTAATTTCTCATCGATACTCCAAAGATTGTAGAAAGTTTGATGATGTGTTGCGGTTAATCATTTAACGCGTAGACCATCGATCGCTAAACCGGTACTGTGTATAATTTGATTAATTTAATTAAAGCATTGTTTCGAGTGGTTTGAAGGAAATGGGCTAGGGAGGTGTATGGGCGACGTATTAATTTCGCTGGTTGAACGCTTAAATTAGCGATATCGAAGGAATAATATTAGCTCGATACGTTTCAGCATACGCGTTGCGAGCCGTTCGACACAACGAGTGCGCCGATGAAAAGCGGTCCATTCCAACGGCACTCGACTTTGATTGAACGTTATTTTGATCCGAATTGCAGTTATTCGGCGCGAGCAATTCACGTTGCGTTTGCGGTGAATATCACAATAAATTGCGAGAGGGATCCGCTCGAATAATACGCGGTTGGTCTTTTTTCGGGGATACGTAGTTATGTCTGCGCAATTAACATCGCTCGTCGACCATCAGACAAGGATGAGGATGCGTTTCGATCGTATTCGATTTGGCAAGTAAACGCGAGCAATCGTGTATTTCAGGTGCAAAGTGAATTTCGCATTACAGAACGGACGCGCAACAAGAGAGAAAGGAAAGCGCGAAGAGCGAGGGACGTTAAACTCCGACTTTCCAAATTCCTCCTCAAGGTGAAGTCGATCGAGTGAGCCCAGCAGTGATATCGTATGCACGTATGGACGAAAGCACCACGATGACCGTGCCTCCGCCACTACCAGTGAAGACTCAGGGTCGGGATGCGAGCCAGGCTGCTCGGCAGACTGTGTCAATCCGGACCGTTTCCCCTTCCGCCGCACCGCCTCTCGCCTCCGGGCCCGGAGCAACGGTATTCGTCGGAGTTAGCGCTCCTACCGCCGATTCCACGACAACCTGTAGGAGAAGAATCCCGGAAGTACAATCGGCGAACGGCTACGAAGAGCGGAGCAGTGTCGTCGAGTCATCGCTGCAGCAACGGTGGCAGCAGCATCATCATCAGCAACAAGCCGCGCATATAGTCAAGATCAAGATCAATCCGGATGGCGACAAGAACGGTAGGGTGATATCGACGGTACGGTTGACCCTGGACGAAAACGGGATCGCGCGCGAACGCTCGGACAGACGCGGCGACGGTGCGGTGGTGGTGAGTGCGACGAACCTGGTGAACGAGCGACACTGTGAGAGTGCCGGTGCCGGTGAGGGCTGTGTGAGGATCAGTGTCTTCGGCGGCGAAGCAACGTCCGATAATCGGGAGCGCGACAGCAACAGCAGTATCGACAATAACAACGACGAGGAGGACGACGACAGGCGCGGCCTGAACAACGACAGGAGCGACAACAAAGACATGGTACACCGCGAGACCACGGAGACTCTGAACTCGTCCTCCCTTGGCGGTCGTCCGAACGCCTGTTTCTATTATAACTCGTATCAGAGCCCGTTAAACGGTATGGTTATGTCCAGCGGCCAATGTTCGCCCAGCGACACTTTAGACAGCGGTACCTGCAGCGACCTTGACGGCACGCCACCACCGTTGCCCAAGAAGAAGAATTCTAGCATGGTGATATTGTCCAACAATACGCATAATCGGACTGGCAGTCTGACCAGTAGCGGCGCCGAGGTCGACAGCGATGACAACGAGAGTAACATCAGTTGCGACTCGTTGAACGGCGCCGAGGTGAACGGCGAGTATCGTGTGCACTCGACGAGCAAAGATCTCGTGACCAAGGACGCCGTCGAGGAGAAGGCTGTAGCAGACGTCGTCGAAAAATCGGACGTTCGAGTTGCATCAACGAACGATGATCGTCAGGTCGAGAAATCGAGTGGCGTTCGTCAGCAAGTCTCCGCGGTAACGGAACTCGGCTCCGCTCCGTGCTCGCCGGTGTCGTCGGCCAGCGTCTCGCCGTCACCGTCCGGAACATCGTCTCTGTCGAAAGCCTCCTCTACACCGCGAGTGAGGAGTCCCGATCCCGCGATCGAGCTGAACGGCAAGCCATTGTCGCCGGTTATTAAGGAGCGCACGTACGAGGAAAGGAAGCAACGTGAGCAAGAGAGGATAGAGCAGGAATGCGCGGATGTTGGTCAGAATCAGTCGACCGGTCACAAGTACCTGTACGAGGACGACAGGTACTACAATTTTCACGTGAACGAGCTGCGCGGTAACAATAACAACTCCAACGGCGAGCACGGTGTCGCCGAGAAGGAGGAGTGCTTCGCCGGCTATAAAATCCACGACAAGGAAGCCATACGAAGTGCCAAAGGAACTGTACGCGGCGTAAAGAACAGAGTGCGAGCGGGCATCGCGACGTTCCTGCAAACGCCCTCCTCCAAGGTACGTATTTAAATTCACACACGGACTAATTACATTCACGATATGGTATTCGAGATTTATATGTGCAAAAAGCGTGAGTTTGTGGTGCGATAGAGTATATGGGTTCTCATATATACATACAGGGTGACTCGTACAAAATGACAGATGTGATTATTAGCGAATTAAGAAGACACATGGAAAAATGGTTCTTACAAAAATGTTTAATAATGAGGTGTTAAACATTTTTATACGTCTTCTTAACACGTTGACTACTACGGTTTATTTAGAGGACTTTTCCCACTTCGTATTTTTTTACACTGATTATACAGAACAGACTTAGTTTGGTAATGTGAACACAGAAAAAATTTTGCCGTCATACATATGTGACACTGGTCTCCAGTGAAAGATCGTTGCATCACACATATGCGACGCTTGTAGTGAACATATTAATTCATTAATAATCGGTCATTTTATACGAATCATCTTTTATATAAAATATGGTATAAGAAGAGGATAAAAAATGACAAATTATATATTCGTGCGATACACACGATTTGTCCGTTGCGTAACATTCCACTCGTGTTTGTGGCTTGCGCACTTTAAATATCGACCAATCGACAGCGACGGAGTTGAGCCCGGTAAACGATGGGTCGATTTGTTATGCAAATCAGGTGCTGGCACCGCGAGTACCTGAGGTGCGTATTGACGAGCTGGAATCGGTATTGAACCGCTCGGCGCAAGCCCGTTAAATTTCACACTCAAATCCGTGCATCGCAGACTGGATGCACTTGATTCGTATGGTCTACGGGTCGGCGCGTTAGATTTACAGTTAGATAGCCGTGCCGACCTCTATCGATCGCCACTTTGGATCGTCGTCGGATGGACGGCATCGATTGGTAACTATATCGATGCACAAGACGAAACGCTATTGTAAATGTCGAATTTTTCACATAGATATAAACCGAATATTCGTGATGATATGTGCAAGGTAAATGTTTACAAAGCTATGGCATACATATAGACGAGGAAAAAAAGAGGCTAACTAATCTATTTTATTCTTCTGCGTGACGGTTCACTCGTGCGTTACGTTCTTACGACGAGTTCACTTAAGGGAGTCTCTTTCACGTTTCATGTTTCTGTCGTAAAATACTGAATGGGAAGTGACGCAAATGGACAAGACAGGTTTCTCGACAGGCTCAACTAGGGTTGAACATCGCGCAGTGATCCGCCGTGAATGCTAATCGCAAAATCCTTTGACAAATATTTACCATCACCTTCTTGTCGAACGCATTTAATCACTGCGATAATCGGCTTACTCATAACGAGTCTATTTACCATCTATGAGCTATTGGCTATTTAAGATATTTTGCTTTAAATTAATGATGAGAAATTTGTTATTAAGAAGATTATAAGGCAAAATGAGAGTTTGTCAAAAGTTTATTGAAACTTATACTACATATGAATTGAAATATTATCTAACTGTTTATTTGTACAATTAGAAAAAGATTAACCATTCGAGAGTTGAGATATTTGAAATTATAATTAATACTTTTTATACGTGTTCCTTGGTACACGTACTGTTTTTAATTTCTATTTTTAATTTTTTTTGTAAATTTTCTTTTTAGAATTAGGATTATAATGAAAAACTCCACCATGATTTTAAAAATTAACATATTGACATAAACACAAATTTCAGAATTATTGTCCGTTTTGTTTGCAAATATTATGATGGAAAGTTTATAATTTATAATAATATTTAAGATACATATACATATATACTCACGCATATTTAACCACTTATATACTTTTTTCTATCATCTGTGTCAGATCTCAATTAGATCAATTGATGCACAAAAATAAAGGAGTTAATAAAAAAAAAATTTTGTATTTGTGATATTGTGTGTACAGAGTGAAGCACTTAAATAACTTGTGAACTATGCGTTGTATGAAAAAAATTGTTACATATAAAAGTTGCAGGATTTTGGAAGTCGTTAGATAATATATGTACTGTTTTTATAAATGAAGAAGTTTCGGGAATTTGAAGGTTAACTTTGATTTTTTACATAGAACTATTTTAATAGATTCTGTAAAATGTAATATTCTGCATAAGAAGTTATAAGGGTAATATGATCAAGAATTGAATAGTTTACGAAATATTTTATATTTTAATATAATATATTTTGACAAAATATATATACAAAGTATTTCGTAAAATATTTAGTTTTTAATAATTTTACCTTAATACTTTTATGTATAGAATAACGAAACGAATAGTACTGCGTATTTAAAATAATAAGGTAAAGTATATAGTATACAATATATCTTTTTTTGAAAACAATTATACGTTTTTTTGCTCCAATCGATTTATTCGTTTCATTAAATGTAAAAGTATTAAGATAAGTATTTATATAAAACTAAATATTTTACAAGATATTTTGTATTTTATGTTAAAAGTGTGTTATGTCATATTAAGATATAAAATATCTCGTAAATTATTCAATTTTTGACTATATTATTCTTATAACGTTTTACGCAAAATGTCACAAGAAATCTATTTACATAACACAATTAAGGTAATTTTATATAAAAAACAAAATTAACTTTCAAATTTATGAAACGCCTCCACTTTTTTATAAAAACAATATATATACTATCTAATGGGAGCGTCTCGATTGCCTACAGTACGGTTGCACACAAACCAATCGATAAGAATTATCTGATTGAATTACCAGATCGAACCAATCATTACAATTTGTGGTCAATAGTACTGTCGGCAATCGGGACTCTCCCCTATCTAATGACTCCCTCAAATAATGCAACTTTTGTATGTAACAATTTTTTATACAACACATATTGTACAAATTATTCAGATGGCTTATATTTTAGATACTTCACCCTATATGTCAAATTTTTTGTTTTAAATTAACATTTATTACTTGAATAATAAAATAAATGTATAGAAACGTACTTTTGTTTGATAAGTATAAATATAATAATTTTAGGTATGGTGTTCCCTTTATGTGTCACGAAAAATACAACACTGGCTTTATACTTTTTTAAAATGAATCAGTGAATAATCACTGATATCAATTATAAGTACTTTCTATATTTATAACTGCAAATCAGTGTATATTCACTGTTTTCAGTGATGTTTGACTGATTCATTTTAAAAGAGCAACATCCTTAAGATCTTATGAAGTATTGATTTGAGATATATCCCCACTATAATGTTATATAGCTTCTTTTCACTTCACAAAATATATTGGTAACTTTACCTTAATATTTTTGTACGCATAATGACAGGTTAAGTGTTGTAAGAAAAACATTAAGAAATCTTAAACAAAATTCCATTGCATTTTCCAAATATATTGACACATCACTGTGCAAAGATTAAAATCACGATCTTCATTCTATTTACAAAAGTGTTAAAGTAAATTTGTCAAAAAATATGAATAGTTTACAAGATATTTCATATCTTATGCTAAAAAGTATCAAAATAAAATGTAAGATATCTCGCAAAGTATTCACTTTTTGATAGTTTCATCTTAATATTTTTAATTTCAGATAATCTGAGGAACACTGATATTAATTAAAACAGCTCTGATTTTATTTAAAAACTAATGTTAATTTTGAGATACTGTTGAAAGAAATATTTTATTATAACAATAATATATTACTATTTTGTATTCCCCTCGAGATTTTATAACCTTTGAGTAACATTTTTTCTAACTAAGGCATTTTTTCCAAGATATTAGTCTGTAACACTTTATATCCTCTATCCTTCTGGCGTGTATGCATGTCTGTACGCGCGCGCGTCTCTTTTTTGCAAAGTTTCCGATGTTGCTATGCGAGCGTCTTGCGTACACGACGGTTGGTCGTACCGTCGATGCGGAACGGATTGACATAACGGTAAATTCGATAAAACGATATTACGGCAATGCAACGCGTTGAGGAACGTTGGCAGTCGCAGAACACAAGTGTGTGCACGCCTTGTTTTTGTCTTGCTCGTCGTGTATTCCGTTTGTTACCGCGCACCCGCGCTATCCATCTCGTCCACGCGTGTTCGCGGCCTATTTCGCGAAATTACAGAGACCGGAGGATACCTCGCTTGCACGCAAATGTGCGCCAGCAACGGCTACGAAGTAATCCCGCGCTTTCTCGCGGCCGCATCTGCCTTTGAAATTACTTCTATGGCACGCCTCGATTGCGCTTTTTGCATGCGATCCGGCGTGAATGTGTGATTATCTTCATTTCTACGTGAAAATCGACACTCCGAACACAAATGACAATATTAATGAGACGCGCATCATGTTGTACGCTCTAGTAATTACGGATACCGTCGGTGAAATTTTTTAGAGGAGCCACGGTGATATGAAGTTAAATATTTTAATATATCTAAATGCATCTGAATGCAGTATAATAATTTATTCAATAAATTTTTTAATTAATAAGAACATGTGTGTGTACATGTGTGATGTTCCATTGTATAATTTTGTTGATCATTAACACACTTCCGATCATTAATACATTACATGGCATTATATCTACGTTATTTGAAGACAGTGGCTGAAAGTAAGCACTTGCACTTTCGTAGTATCTGTTTCAAACTCGACGTCTTGTTAAAGGAGGAGGGGAACGCCGTGGAACGCCATTCACTGTACATATACCGACAGATTTTTATGAATTACGCATTAAACGCGCGTTCGGATAATCGCAATTTGCGACATCGAAATGTCGCGCGCAATTTTACAGACCGCACCGATAACCGGTGCAAGAAACTTGATTTTGCTTAAAAAAGAAAAATATTAAATGGTACCAACATTTCGACTTGAAATCATAAATATCGCTCCGGGTAAACCATACTATAGTGTGCCCTACTTTCGTCGTTTCTCGTTTGTTCATTTCTTGCCGAGGTCCGCAAAAGCCATTCGTTAATATATTATATCTCATATACAGGGCATTATATCTCATATATATCCTGAAACTACCGCATGCTATTTTAATGGCAGATTCTTTAGAAC